ACAAAGATTACATTGCGGTGTTTGATGTGCGACAGCGAGGCGGCCATATTTGGACTTCAAATACTATTATTTAGCTGGTACATCTTGCAGTAACTGCCACGACCGACTTTCTATTAACCTCGGCATTGATCAAGTGATTTTCTTCGTATTTTTGTTGAGCAAACGCGAGGTGTTATTATTCTTTGTTCACGATTAAGCTGACGTTTCGGCGAATTTCGCCTTCTTCAGAGCCGCTTCCTATGAGGTTTCCACTAAGTATGTCACGTAGAGACCAACCGCACAGAAGTCACGTGAAAGTATAATGTACTCCACGTGATTATATACTTATATTATACTATTATATTATACTTATTATATTCATTATACTTCCACGTGATTTCTGTGCGGTTGGTCTCTACGTGACATACTTAGTGGAAACCTCATAGAAAGCGGCTCTGAAGAAGGCGAAATTCGCCGAAACGTCAGCTTAATCGTGAACAATGAATAATAACACCTCGCGTTTGCTCAACAAAAATACGAAGAAAATCACTATTATTTAGATAGATAGAGAACTTTTCAAGAGAGAAGTTCTCTATACTAGCTGACGTTTCGGCAGTATCGCCTTCTTCAGAGCCTGGAAGGGTATACTGATATACAATCTACTAGGCCAAACCCTTCAATAACACTTACAAAAAGACGAAAAAACTCTATGGTAATTACATGGTCAACAGCTTCTCGAAAAACTCACCGATTTTTCGTGACTTCCAATGAGGAAGTTTAGAACAGCTGATTATAGTCGCATGTGGTTGACGACTGCACCATCCCACATCAGAAATTGTTGTGAACATACGGGGTCAGGTCGTGTATGACCTCTGGGCACTCATCCCTGCTATTAATTGTGTGGTTTTTCGCATTTATCCNAAAAAACCCACCGATTTTTCGTGACTTCCAATGAGGAAGTTTAGAACAGCTGATTATAGTCGCATGTGGTTGACGACTGCACCATCCCACATCAAAAATCGTTGTGAACATACGGGGTCAGGTCGTGTATGACCTCTGGGCACTCATCCCTGCTATTAATTGTGTGGTTTTTCGCATTTATCCAAAAAACCTCAAGAAGTTTTCGCGCTGGTGTTTTGGACTCCTGTGCAAGGATATTGACTTTTACTTCAAAATCGTCTCCGCTATGCTTTTGTGTCCTATGCGTGCCTAGTGGTGTGCTTCGTCTTAGTCTTCGTTTGCTATCTAGGTGTTCTTTTATACGGATACACAAAGGTCTGCCCGTTTCGCCACGATATTCACCTTCGCCATTATTACAAGAGATCAGGTATATCGTACCTGAACTCATGCAATCACCGTCCCTGCCGTAAGGGCAAATTACGCAATTTGTTGTTTCACATAGACGGTCACACAGGCGGTTACGAACTAATTGGCGACGTAGAGTAGCCGGTGATATTTCAACTATCGCTACCGATTCCTCTAGACCTGCCCTTCTTAAGCATCGTTTTATCGCTACGCTTACTTCATCGCTTATAAAAGACAACATAAACGGGACTTTCCTTTGGCCAAGTGTTTCGCGTGGGCGCGCCGCTCTCCTTCTAAACTTATCTCGTGGGGTTACTATTTCGTAGCCATTGTAGATGGCTATTTGCCGAGCCAAGTCGCGCGATTCTTCCTTTAGTTCCCTGGTAGTGCACACAGAGGTGGCTGTTCAATACATGTTTCTCACAAGCGCCCTCTTTGTGTGTGAAGGGTGGGAAAAGGAAATGAAGAAGAATGTTCTTGTTACTTGGCTTTCTATACCACTTTGTCAGGTAGCCGCTACTTGATAGGTTTATTTGAACGTTCAAAAACGGAAGCCAGTTTTTTTCTCGGTTTCTCCCGAGTGAGCTTTATGTACCCGGACTGCTCGTTCAATAATTCAAAGCATTTGTCCATTTCCTACTGCGTAGAGAAGGCGACAAAACTGTGTCATCTATGTACCTGAAGTAGAGTAGTGGCCGGAGATCGAGAACATCTATCTTAGACATAAACACAATGGGAAGGCTTGGTGCCAGTCGCTGTCCCATTGCCAACCCCCTTATTTGCGCGATATATTTCCCAGACCATCCGAAAATCGAGCAGTTTAGGTACTCCTTTAAGAGAGCCATTAGCTGCTGGATGGACAAGCCATGCATATTTATCTTTCCTTCATGTTCAACAAGAAGTTCGAAGATGGCTTGCATTGCGGAGTCATTCGACACGTTGGTGTACAGTGCGGCAACGTCGAAAGACTCCATCACGTACGCGTTATTAGGAGACGCGTTACGTAGACGTTCTAGGAACATTTGGGTGTTTGTGAGGTGAGCTGGAATGTGGTTAAGCAACTGGGTAAGTATCAGGCTTAAAAACCAGGTTGTTCTATCCGTTGGCCCGTCCACACAGCTGATGATCGGTCTAACCTTAAATGATGAAGAATTGATTGACGCATGATCATCAGGTGATACCAACTTATGTGTTTTAATAAGTAGGTATAGGACGGGACATGTTGGTCTATCGATTTTAAAGTGCGAAATAGCCGATGATTTTAAACCCGCAGCCTTTGCCACGCTGACCCATTGATTGTTTAGCTTTCGGTATTGACTTTTATATTCCTTTTCAGAGGATGGGCGATAGAGAGTAGCATCACTAAGATGTTCCTCTGTTATCTCAACATCCAGCTGGAGAGGGATAACTACGAACTCTCCCCCGTTATCACTAACAGACAATCTTATTGTTTTCGAGTTTATTAATTCTCTAATTTTTCGCCTGCCACATTTTTGTGCGGCTATAAGGTTAGAGATAAACTTTCTATCGCGGTAGTGACCAAGGGCCTTGAGAACGCCGTCCGAAAACGCGCGGAATTTTATGTCAACTCCATCGTTAGGGTCCTGCTGTCTGAAAAACGTTTTTGGGAGGAGATGGTGGTAGTGTCGCCGCCTTTTGATTTTCATTTCTATTTGATATTTCTTGCTTGGTTTGATAGCGGAGTCGCTCTTGTAGCTCATAAAGGTTGCATGCTATTCTACGCAGGGTCGTTTTAGAAATGGACTGTGATGGAGCAAAACTTGGGCCCAATTCTAATAGCGAGCGCGAATTCTCAGGTATTGTTATGCCCCCAATCACGGTGACCCTAGATTTGCTTGGTGCATTATCAACCCCATTTTGACTATTATCAGAAGCGTAGGCAATTCGTTTGCGGTTGTTTCTTGAAGCTGAGACATGTGAATTACTCAAAAGATTTTCGGATTTTCGTTGTAAGGCTATTTTGGCATTAGACCTAAGAAAATCGCATATCAATATTGACCTACCAACTATTCTCCTCCAAAGGCGTTCCTCCAAATACAAAGCACAAAAATGTTCCTTCGTTGCACACTTCGTCATTCTGGCAAACATCTCGTTCTGCTTGCTTCGTAGTGCAGCTCGAAGTAGTTCCATTTTGATGCCTCGTACTTGTCGGCTGTCCTCTGGTTGACAGCATATCTCGTGAAGTCGCTTCCGTTTTATAAGCTTCGGTACGACTCGATGTTGAAAAAAGCGGCGGAGAAAGTTGATTTGCTGTCTAGCTAAGACAATCTTTTGTCTTAGTGACAATCGTTCCTTCACAAGTGGAGAATATAAAAAAATAAACACTCTGTGTGAAAGAGCACTTCCGGGTGAGCATGCCTCATTCGTGTGGTGTTCCACTGACGAGAAGATCCGCCTCGGTGCGATTACGAAGAAGCCACATCGAGAAAAAGCACAACTGTGGACCATCGACTCGGGTCATCGGCTCTGATGAAGACGAAGACGACGAAATGTTCAGCCGAATAAACGTTATTATCAACGTCGTGTAACCTCAACAACTTAGAAACATGTTGATTATTTTCCTACCGAGGTTAAATGACGTTCCGTTCAAAAATAGGATGTCCAGTGTTCTTTGGATGCGACATAGGATAGGTTTTGTCACAAGCTCGTAGATCATTAAACGAATGATACAGTTAGGTCACCTCTGTTAGATAGGGCACTAGCCTCGAAATCTTCCACTAATAAGTGATTCAATCCGAACTTCAAAGAGACAAAAACGGCGTAACTCTTCTTCAAGAGATTTTCTGGCTTGGCGGAGATACATCTGCGATTTAGCTTTTGACTGAAGAGTGAATTGCTATTGACGAAAATAAAACAAGGCACGCAGGCACAAGGCAGGTAACACCTCGCGTTTGCTCAACAAAAATACGAAGAAAATCACTTGATCAATGCCGAGGTTAATAGAAAGTCGGTCGTGGCAGTTAAAACAAGGCAGTTTCTAATGTTCTTCCAGTCGCCACTTAAAGATTTTCCACTCCTGCGTTTGCCTTTGTTGAGGTTTTCTGTTTTGGGGCTGAAGTTCCTACATTTACCTTCATTGTAGTTCTTGCTTTGGTTATGAAGTCTTCACCTACAAAATTATGTGAAATATTTCCATTATGAATTAGGAATCATTTCTACAACTGATCATAGAACGTTCCATCTAATTCATTACCAACCTGGGTAGTGTATAAGTATGCCGGAAAACCTGAAACATATGCAGTAGTTCCTCGTCTCCACATTCTTGCACTTCTGTGAAACTCTCATGTTAAACCTGTACGAAAGAATCTACCATCCGAGGGATAGAGTGATGATCAACGGCAGAAGTAGGCATTCTTGTGATGTGAGCCCAGTACTTCGAACATTCCACATATTATCCCCTGAAGGTATTGGTTTGGTCTAATAGGGCTTCCTATCAAAATCATATTTCTCTGGCTCTCTCACTCGATGATATCTCAGGAGCTGCTCGGTGTGCAAGTAATGATGCTGGTGTATTGATGCAGATTGAGTTACCTGTTCTTCATTTCAGAGAATCATTGATTTCGTTACATTTTTAGTAGGTTTTCTGAATGGAACCACTAAATTCTTCCATGGCTTGTATACCCCTACGGGGTTACTGGGATATGGGAACTCTGTTTCAACTCATCAATTGAAATTTGTTTCTCGGTTTTTGAGAAATTCTTATTTTTATTATTTTTACTATTTACTATTCTATTCTTCAAATCTTTAGTGACATCGTTGGTTTCACAGCAATATGCTCTTCGTCGACACCAATTGAGGTGGTCAACATGTTGAACGCAGTTTACAGCAAGTTTGATGACGTTATCAGCAATAATCAGGCTTATAAGGTAACACGAAGACTAACCAAGGACAACTAAAGCATGATAAGTACGATATGGGGATAAAGTTTTGGGCGCCATTCAAGACTATCGCTTGTTTGAAAATCCAGCTTTACTTGTTTGCATTCAATGACATGTTCAGTATAAAGCCGAGTCCACCGAGTGTCTTTATGAAATAACGAACGCCGAACGCGTTCGCGATTTCATCTTATCAATTCACTGCCTGTCATTAAAACTTAAGAGCGCTGTTTATTCTGTTCAGGTTGAAACTATTGGTGACGCTTATATGGTTGTTTCCGGAATTCCAGAAGAAAATGGTACCAAACACATCATGCGCATTTCCGATACCGCCTTGGAAATGATAGCTGTATCATTTGGACTGAAGCTTATATTCGCTTGTTCCTTTGTTTAAAACAATGTTTCACACTGAATTTGCAGCTTCTGAAAACCTTCGATATTCCACATCGTCGCAACAGTCATGTTCGCATTCGCGTTGGCTACCATTGCGGATCTGTGGCTGCTGGTGTTGTTGGCCATACGGCTCCAAGATATTGTCTCTTCGGTGACACAGTTAGTCTAGCAGTTTGCAATAAGAATTAGCGTAGCACTTGGACCTAAGTAATATACGTTGGAATACAACGGCAATATGATTTACATTTATTTGTCATGCCTTTCCACGAAGTTGACAGCCGAGCTGAGATTTACAGCGGGAGTTTGTCCACCAATAGTGTCACTCAAGCCGAAAACACGCCCGACATTTCTAGATCATCGGGAAGTAAAGCAACACCATAGGTCGACAGCTCCGTGTTCGCAAGACTTAGCACTACTTGCTCCATACTGACCGACAACTGCTCATGTTGACGACTGCGAATATCTTGGAGCGGGTTTTACCAAGCTCCTTGGAGCAACTTGTCAAAGCGGGTGGCTAAACAAAACATGCGTTAGTGTTCAAACAATTCCAGATAAAACGATTTATGTACAAGTCTGATGTGTGAGCAAGATTTTGATTTAAAAAAGTCTCCAAACAATAATACAGCAATTTTGCGCGATTTATGGCTTCGCTGGTTACTTCCAGGTGAATATGGCGTCTCGAATGGAATCAACTGGTGAACCAGAAAAAATTCAAATGTCAGAGAATGCACATGATATGCTGTGCACAAACTATCCAGAATACATAACAAAACTCAGAGGAACAGTTGATGTAAAGGTTAGCTGCCGATGTTGCTTAGAAATTGCGCTTTATACGAGGGTGCTACATCATGTACAAATTCTTTTCCATGGAACCAGTAAAAATTTTCGAGCTATTATCACTTTTTTTGTTAGACTGAAATTTGTTTAAGGGGTAGTAAAATGGTATAGATTCGTAAGGTTCGTGAATCGCGTACTTGGATGACTACTCTTCACTGCTTATGCTGGCTCCATCATAATTTCCTTCTTTTCGGTTTGGAGTTATGCTGGTCTAGCCATTATGGTTTCCTGAAATCCCGCACAGGCAGTCGACGGACCTTGTGGATCAGAGGGAGATTTACCAGCATGCGACTAGTTTCACACCAACGGTGGTCGGTCCTAGTATTGGTTTACTCCTAGCTAGACTTCCTGATGGAAACGCCAGACTCTTTCTCAGCTTGGGAAACCCTGTCGGGAGAGACGAATTCCTCCGCTGTACATCGAAGTCCGACACCCAGGAACACCTCCCAGCCACGATGAGGCGGTTTAGAGGCGGTTTGCGCCTCTAAATGGAAAATTTAAGTAATACGCCAATACATTGTTTTTGCATTGAGTAGTCTACAGTAAAATGTTAGTAAAAGGTTGATGGAATTAAGTTCCATTGGAGAATGTGTTGTTGCTAAAAAGCGACAAAATACTATGATACTGGGGACGAGTAAACATCATAAAGCATGTGCTTGTGACCATTAAACTGCGGTGAAGAATTGAAATTCGACCATAACTACTAAAGCTTTTGGTGAAATGAGAAAAAATATCGAAAAACTCGAAAGTGATTACAGAGCTAAGCACAAGTGTATAAAGCATTGGCTAGTTGCTTGTCTACAAAATTATAAAATCTTTATATCTTCCAGGGCAAAGGCGCCTGCAACACGTACTGGCTGTTTGGCAAAGAAGTGTCAGAGTCTAAAACATTGTGAAGCAACGAAATATTTATAATTGGAGCGTGAATAAATTTTACAAAGTTTGCATGAAAGTGTGTGTAAAAGGGAAAAGTACATTTAGTATTACTTGTTACATGTTGAGCCATGTCGTGGAGAACAGTAGAGAGATTTATGTTACCTTAGTAACCCAACATTCTCCTAATCTTGGCATTAACAATCATTATTTTTTCTTAGAATGTTCAGTTTACAAGACGTTGCTCTACAAGATTCATTCGGGCAGCGATCCAAAGCCTTCGTTTTGTTCAGGGTCGAGTTGATCTAAGTCGATGGTCCACAGTCGTTTGTCTTCGCAGTGTGGGCTTTTATTGTAGTATCAAGTTGAATATTATTGATTTCGACTGCTCACATCAAGGTTAAGAGAATGTCGGCCCAGTAAAGTATTACTTCACTACGTGCTAGCTAATCTAATGCTCACTGCTACAGGATGGATTGCTTAGTGGAAAACAAATTATCACTGTCATCGACAACCCTCTTGCACAGAAGAGCATCGCCGAGTAAGGTTATTTCATTCCCAACGGAGTCTCATTTAAGAAGATTCGAATCGATACGACAATAAAGACCCACAAAGCGAGAATGGGTGCCTGTGGACCACTGACTCGCATCAATTCAGCTCAATAGAAGACGTAGCTCTCGAAACTTTGCTTAGAAAAAACTTGTATAACAATCTTGTGTAAGCTGAACAATCTAAGAAAAGATTTAACGCATACAATTAACAGCAAAAGTGCTAACAAATCACAGTGAATCTGATAAAACTCAAGGCGGACCATTTACTATCACAAAATTTGCCTACGTTGGAACTAGGTTACATCAGTGTTGACAGTCAGTCGTGTTTGCTTTCTATGTGAATCTTTATTTTCCGTATGAAAGAAGCGTGTTTAACGAATGAAGCAATTTTTGCGTTAAAGTGTGCCGTGCTAAAAACTAAATTTGTTAATAGAGGAAGCCTTTTCACCACTACAGAGCGTAAGTTGGCCGGATCTTAGGATGTACTAAATTTACGCGGCACTTTCACGCTCTACCGAGTCTACTGAAACCGACACCAGTGTTAACTACACTTCATTTCTACAACTTCTACAGTTTCAACTTATACAAGGCTTCGATCGATGATACCTGCTTGGATATTTAGACGGCGCCCGTCCTCACTGGTTGTGCGGGCCCTAGTACACCTCCACTTTTCGGAGCCTTGCTGCTTTTGCCATTGTGTTTCCCTGAAGTCTGCTCAGGACGTCACCACCACAGGCGGTCGCCCTTGTAGATCAGAGAGGGAATCACACCATGCGATTAGTTTGATACCAGCACGGTGGTGGTTCCTGGTATTGGCTTGCTCTCGAATGGGCTTCCTGATGGAGACGCCGGACTCCTTCTCAGTTTGGGAGACCCAGCCGGGGATGAATCCACCGCTAAACATCGCAGTCCGACACCCATAAACGTCTTTTACCCACTATTAGGCGGTAAACTGTTGAGAGGACATCGATGATAGTTATATCAAAGCATGAATAACGACTCTATCACCTAAGTAATAATATAAAATAATTTTTCCACTCCTACTTTCATATTTAAATCCGGTTTATATATTGTTTTTGAGTCAACCACTAAATTGGGACATTCGCAAAACATGGACACCGGGCTAGGTCGAACCACGATTACCCTTTCCGGGGTTTCACGTGTTACACATTGCACCAATGAGGCCCTTGCTTTGTGTTTCTCTCAGCTATTTTTCTACCTAACGCTGCCATCATTGTGATTGTATTTTACATCATACTCTGCCGTAAAAAATTATGTTAGGGAGCGAATAAAGGGTTAACTTTCCTTAGCCACGGATCTTTAAGTTCTTTTCAGTGTGCTGGTTGGATACAATTACGTGTGTTCGCTCTGTGATAGACGAAAAGCAGAGAAATCTGTCATGTAGAAATTAAAAGGCGAGACATATGCAATCTGTAGAGGAAGGATTTTGTAACGCCATGGCGGTGGCGTAATCTTTGAAGTACAGCCGTCAATTACCCATTTCGCCGATTCGTACGCATTTAGCCATTGTTTTTCTCAAACTAACGTGCTATAAGAAGATCAGTATCATGAACTGCTACTGTCTGACCGATACAGCTGATAAATTGGATGCGTTTTACTCAGTAGTTTGAGGACATAATCTGCAACGAGAAGCAATTTCGCAGATTTGTTGCCGAAGACTTCAACGTCAGAAAAGGAAAGGTCGTCGAGGGCGAACTGAGAATCGGAAAATTCAAATTAAGAGAGACAAACGAGAATGAAAACCGTCTCTCAGGACTTCTGGCTGCAGCATATCTTTTTCTCGAAAATTCGGTTTTAAGAAGAAAGAGCAAGCGCTGGAAATGGATGGCATCTAAACAAATGAGGAGACCGATCATCTCCTTACAAATAGAAGATGGTGATGCTCAATACATTCATGTTTTCAAAATTTTTCACTCTGTACTCTTTCTTTGATGAGTTTACACGAGGTTGATAATGATGTTTATTTTCGGCTAACGTTTCGACGTCTTCGTCTTCCTCAGAGCCGATGATCCGAGTCGATGGTCCATGATTGTTGTTCGCCTCGACGTGGAAGCTTCGCCTTCGTGTCGAGTTAGGTCTTCTTCAGTGAGCCATCTCCTCGAATGAGGCATCTTTACTCAGTGATGCCTTTTTATACACGATGCTGATGGTCGATATAATGATAATGTCCGGTGATAACAACTTGTTTTTCTTCCGGACATACATCATTGCGCACATCGTGCGGAAGTCGGTGTTGTTATCAGCTAGCACACAAAATAAACATCATTATCAACCTCGTGTAAGCTCATCAAAGAAAAAATACATATTGATTAGTGATACCGAGGTTCAGGGAAAGTCGGTTTCGAAATATTTTTCACTCTATTTGATGGTTTCTTTTTCCGTCAGAAGAATGGCTTCGACCGTGAACTGAAAAAAAACGCTGCCATCGACCGAGAAGAAAAAGTCAAGCTGTACATGTAGGAACTATTCCTCAAATAGTACTTATTTGCTGCATTACCGTATTTCTCCAATATTAACTGTGCTTACAGCTGGTCACATTTATTCTTGCCTTTTACGCTTTGTATC